TCCTCCTGGTAAGGTAAACACACAGGACTTAGTGGAATGAGTTGAGCTCCAAATTGGCCCACTGCTTTTTTTCATCAACTGGCACTTACTGTCTCAATGACTCACTCGGATTCGGAAGAGAAAGATTAAAAGGTTTCATTACTTAACACCATTCAGTTGGGTTCCCTATCCCAGGTTGCAGTCCTTTTCGGTGAACCTCTGCAACAGAGGTCTTACTCTTGTCACAGACTCAGAAATCATTCAGAGAAATTTCCCGGTGAAATGCAGGCATTCTTTTCTGTTTCCTTTCCTCCCAAGGCCTGTGTTTCGAGTTTTTCAAAGGCAGCAGGCTGGGTTTATTTATTCACTGGTTAACCCTTTCCGGAAGCATATCTCAACTTACAAGACATTCTTTCACACCAAAGACAAGATGATTTACAAATTTACAAATCTTTACAAATTTGTAAAATTTACAGATCTTTACAAATTTGTACAATTCACAAATCTTTACGAATTTGTACGATTTTCAAATCTTTACAAATTTGAACAATTTACAAATCTTTACAAATTTATACAATTTACAAATCTTTACACATTTCTTACATATAATGCACTACATTGAAATTCGGGTTTTGTGCCCTCATTTTTATCAGTTTCTACTGTGGGCCATCTTGAAAGTCTTTTGAAGCCAGATATATTTGAATATAGGTCTGACACAAATAGAGGTGGCTACTATGTTTATTTATTCACTGGTTAACAATTTCTGGAATAATACCTCAACTTACAAGACATTCTTTCACACCAAAGAGAAGATGATTTACAAATTTACAACTCTTTACAAATTTGTACAATTTACAAATCTTTCCAAATTTGTACAGTTTACAAATCTTTCCAAATTTGTACAGTTTACAAATCTTTCCAAATTTGTACAGTTTACAAATCTTTCCAAATTTGTACAGTTTACAAATCTTTCCAAATTTGTACAGTTTACAAATCTTTCCAAATTTGTACAGTTTACAAATCTTTCCAAATTTGTACAGTTTACAAATCTTTCCAAATTTGTACAGTTTACAAATCTTTCCAAATTTGTACAGTTTACAAATCTTTCCAAATTTGTACAGTTTACAAATCTTTCCAAATTTGTACAGTTTACAAATCTTTCCAAATTTGTACAGTTTACAAATCTTTCCAAATTTGTACAGTTTACAAATCTTTCCAAATTTGTACAGTTTACAAATCTTTCCAAATTTGTACAGTTTACAAATCTTTCCAAATTTGTACAGTTTACAAATCTTTCCAAATTTGTACAGTTTACAAATCTTTCCAAATTTGTACAGTTTACAAATCTTTCCAAATTTGTACAGTTTACAAATCTTTCCAAATTTGTACAGTTTACAAATCTTTCCAAATTTGTACAGTTTACAAATCTTTCCAAATTTGTACAGTTTACAAATCTTTCCAAATTTGTACAGTTTACAAATCTTTCCAAATTTGTACAGTTTACAAATCTTTCCAAATTTGTACAGTTTACAAATCTTTCCAAATTTGTACAGTTTACAAATCTTTCCAAATTTGTACAGTTTACAAATCTTTCCAAATTTGTACAGTTTACAAATCTTTCCAAATTTGTACAGTTTACAAATCTTTCCAAATTTGTACAGTTTACAAATCTTTCCAAATTTGTACAGTTTACAAATCTTTCCAAATTTGTACAGTTTACAAATCTTTCCAAATTTGTACAGTTTACAAATCTTTCCAAATTTGTACAGTTTACAAATCTTTCCAAATTTGTACAGTTTACAAATCTTTCCAAATTTGTACAGTTTACAAATCTTTCCAAATTTGTACAGTTTACAAATCTTTCCAAATTTGTACAGTTTACAAATCTTTCCAAATTTGTACAGTTTACAAATCTTTCCAAATTTGTACAGTTTACAAATCTTTCCAAATTTGTACAGTTTACAAATCTTTCCAAATTTGTACAGTTTACAAATCTTTCCAAATTTGTACAGTTTACAAATCTTTCCAAATTTGTACAGTTTACAAATCTTTCCAAATTTGTACAGTTTACAAATCTTTCCAAATTTGTACAGTTTACAAATCTTTCCAAATTTGTACAGTTTACAAATCTTTCCAAATTTGTACAGTTTACAAATCTTTCCAAATTTGTACAGTTTACAAATCTTTCCAAATTTGTACAGTTTACAAATCTTTCCAAATTTGTACAGTTTACAAATCTTTCCAAATTTGTACAGTTTACAAATCTTTCCAAATTTGTACAGTTTACAAATCTTTCCAAATTTGTACAGTTTACAAATCTTTCCAAATTTGTACAGTTTACAAATCTTTCCAAATTTGTACAGTTTACAAATCTTTCCAAATTTGTACAGTTTACAAATCTTTCCAAATTTGTACAGTTTACAAATCTTTCCAAATTTGTACAGTTTACAAATCTTTCCAAATTTGTACAGTTTACAAATCTTTCCAAATTTGTACAGTTTACAAATCTTTCCAAATTTGTACAGTTTACAAATCTTTCCAAATTTGTACAGTTTACAAATCTTTCCAAATTTGTACAGTTTACAAATCTTTCCAAATTTGTACAGTTTACAAATCTTTCCAAATTTGTACAGTTTACAAATCTTTCCAAATTTGTACAGTTTACAAATCTTTCCAAATTTGTACAGTTTACAAATCTTTCCAAATTTGTACAGTTTACAAATCTTTCCAAATTTGTACAGTTTACAAATCTTTCCAAATTTGTACAGTTTACAAATCTTTCCAAATTTGTACAGTTTACAAATCTTTCCAAATTTGTACAGTTTACAAATCTTTCCAAATTTGTACAGTTTACAAATCTTTCCAAATTTGTACAGTTTACAAATCTTTCCAAATTTGTACAGTTTACAAATCTTTCCAAATTTGTACAATTTACAAATCTTTACACATTTCTTACATGTAATTCACTACATTGAAATTTCGGTTTTGTGCCCTCATTATATCAGTTTCTACTGTGGGCCATCTTGAAAGTCTTTTGAAGCCAGATATATTTGAATATAGGCCTGACACAAGTAGAGGTGGCTACTATATTCATTTATTTATTCACTGGTTAACCATTTCTGGAAGCATATCTCAACTTACAAGACATTCTTTCACACCAAAGACAAGATGATTTACAAATTTACAAATCTTTACAAATTTGTGAAATTTACAAATCTTTACAAATTTGTAAAATTTACAAATCTTTCCAAATTTGTACAGTTTACAAATCTTTACAAATTTGTACAGTTTACAAATCTTTACATTCAAAACTTTATAGGCGTTTATTTCTAGAGTGCCCTCCCATGAACCCATTGCATGACGAAGCCAGCAGATCTCTGCCCCGAGGAAGACACAGTTTAAAAGGTAATTGAGGAGAGACAACAGGGAAGATGGTCATAAATGGAGGCTTGGTGGTCAACATGTCTGTGGCAGAAGCTTAGCCTCAGGGAAAGGGATGTTTGAGGGTAACCAAGCTCCGTGCCAGATGTGCTTTTTGAAGATGGGGGGATGTGGCTGCACTGGGGTAGAGGCAAACTGGGGGAAGGGCACCCCTCAGGACAGTCCCCACAAAAGACAGTCCAAAAGCACAGACAGACATGTAAGAACAATTCTTTTGTAAAGTTAATGGATTTTAATGGCCCATTCGAGAGCAAGCCCCTCTCCCCCAAAAGGCTTTCCATAAGAACAGGCAGGGCTCCCAAGAATATGATTAGTCCATTGACATTACAGCCAAATGGGGTGGAACAGGGAAGCTTATGGTGCTAGCATTTTGACCCCTTGAAAGCCCTCTATTCACTTGGCAAGGCTTGGGTTCCATCCCCGCATGGGGGCTGGGGTGGGGATGAAGGGACTGCAGATCCCAAGGGCAGCCAAGAGAAAGGGATACCAGGTCCAGGTCGGCAGCTGGCACCCTTCTGCGGCTGACCAGGCTGGTGGGGCCAAACCCGCCATCATTATAGCTCACTAGGTGTCCTCTAGTCTCAGCCCCTCAGCAGAAGCACAGATGTGTCACCCTCTCGACCCAAAGTCACTGAAGGGGCAATCGGATGAGCCGCATCAGCTAAACAGTCCTGGAAAGGTGTGATTTGCATGTGCTGCAGTTAACATGAGCAGCCTTGTGCTTAAGGGCCGGTCCTTCTGCTTGGTGTTTGGAGGCTTTCCCCAGTTACAATAGCTTCCTGAGAGTACAAGCAGTTTTCCAGTGGCACAGACCACCTTGAAGGCTGTGAAAACTTCTTAACTGTTAGAGCAGTAAGACAATGGAAACCATGACCTCGACGGGGGGGAGCACTCCAACACTGGAGGCCTTCAAGAGACACTTAAACAACCCTCTGTCAGATCTGCTTGGATTCGGATTCTTGCATCGAGCAGGGGGTTGGACTTGATGGCCCCTTAGAGACCCCTTCCAACTTCACAATTCTGTGAAACAGGCTGAGAAATGGAGGTCGGATGGCCATCTCTGTAAGATGCTTGAGGTGTGGATTTACTGGGTGATCCTTGAGCATCCCTTCTAACATTTCAGTTCTACACTTCTACAAGGATATCTGCAAGCGAGATGTGAAGGCCTTAGGAATGGACCTCCACAGATGGGAAACCTTGCCCTCTGAGTGTTCAGCCTGGAGGGAGGCGGTGCATCACGGCCTCTTCCAATTTGAAGAGGCACTTGTCCAGCAGGCCGAGGCCAAGAAGCCGTCCCAAACCCAGCAAAATCAGGGAGCTGGACAGGGGACAGATTGTCTTTGTCTTCAGTGTGGAAGGGATTGTCACTCTCGAATTGGCCTTCTCAGCCACACCAGACATTGTTCCAAGACCTCTGTTCAGAGCATGTTACCATGGTCTCTTAAGACTGAAGGATGCCTACACACTTCTACAATATCCTCCAAAGCACATTAATTCTTGCAGGCTGGCATACTGGCTGTGCCAAGTAAGAGGAGACCCAGCTCTGCTGCTGGAGCCCCTTCCTTGGGCTGCCCCCTCTCTCAGACGTAGGTGCAGACCGTTCTGGGGCTGTCCCCCGCAGCTTCCTCGGGTGGACCCGTGCCCGGGATATTCAGGAGCTCTGTTTCATAGTACAGTGTCACAGCTGCAAGGAAGGCCGCCAGGTTGCCCGCAATGGCCACCCAAAGGGAGTAGCCGTATTCAAAGCTGGGAAATCCAGGGATTCTCAGAGACACCTAGGGAGAGAAAGCTGGATGGGCCAGGAGCTGACAGAGGAGACCCATCAAGGCTCAAAGAAGGAGGCATGTAGACAAAGGATGTTGCCTGGCCCAGAAGCCAAGGTGGAAAGTGTGGCTTGGAAGCAGTTCAGTGGAGTTGCTAAGAAAGAAGGACCAGCCAAGGACCCCACCCCGTTCTCGCTGGGGACACCCGGCTGAATCAGTAGCTGCTCTCCCATATTAGGGACTGGTGCTGGGTTAGCAGCAGGGAGCACTTATGCGGACAGGCGATTATGGGACCTGGTGTCCAAAAAAAGCAACTTTGGAAATTTCCATCCAAGTTCCCATCAACACGGACTTTTTGGTGGGTGCTCCCAAATGCTGGAACTCGCTAAGCCAGCTGGCTCCCTGTTGCTTTTATGTTGCCTTCTATTCAGATGGACCTTTTCAAGTGTTTGCATTTTAATAGTACAAAGGGAGATTAATCCATCGTTATTCTTTGTGTTGTCTGGGGTGTTCTTTGGGTTTTTGATCTTTGCCACCTGCTGTCCTGGGAGAAAGGTGGGCTATGAATTAGGTAAGCGATAAAAGCTTGATCAACATTTCACTCCAAAAAAGAGAGCAATGTACAGAAGATAAAGATCTGTGGCTCCTGTCTGGCAACACTGGATCTGAACATCATGGCACTGCAAAGCTTCTGATCCTAAACCCCTGCAATCCGCCAGGGCAGCGGATGGGCAGGAGAGGAATGGAGCTTAGATTTGCAGACAGACAGATAGACAGATGGTGCTTTGCAACATCAGAACCGAGCCACTTTAGGGACAATCTGCTTCATCCAGGATGCCTGTGTGCATAGATGCATGCACGTACCTCGTAACCCCGAGAGACCCATTAGTAGATAATCAATCAATCAATGAATCAATCATACTTTTGAGGCAGCCCCCAAGCAGCCACCTTCCTCTCTCTGTTTACTCTGCGATCCCTCATCCTGCTCCAGTTTTATACCTCTGTTTGCTGATCCTCCCTTTCAAACTGACTTCCTCCTCAGCTTCTTTTTTCAGCTTCTCTTCCCCCAAAATCCACCACAGACCCTCCATGAACAGTAAGCCAACTGTGGTCTTCCAGATCTTGTCGGACAACAGCTCCCAGCGTTCTGCATCACCTGCTGTGTGGGGCAAGGCAGATAGGAGCTGGAATCCAGCAACAGCTGAAGGGCCAGATGTTGCCCCCCTTGGACCCCTCCAGGCATCACAGCTTCTCCAGCCCAGCTGCGCCAAGACCACCCATGGACCACCTTCCATGGAAGTGACCAGCCCTCAGCTTCATGGCTTGGGTGATGTGAGAAGGCTGGATGCCAGGACAAGGAGTGTGTTCTTTCAAAGGCGTTTGGCCCTCCCAGGTAAACCTCATTGTGTCCGGTGGAACGTAAAACTGGTAAGCCAGGGAGAGGACCTGGACAAAAGGCGCACCACTGGGGTGTGCAGGGAAAGTACCTCGTACTGGTGCTGGGAGAACACGTACATGCAATATCGGATGACTCCGACGCAGGACAAAAGACCTACAAAGGAAGAAATGGCCAGGTGAATTTGAGACGTGGAGGAAGCCGCCCCTTTCACTTTCTCCCACATTTGAATCTTTAAAGCCTCGCAGGTTCTTTCTCCTGAGCATGAAGGCATTTGTATATTTTGGTGGAAGGAAAAGGAAGGAAGGAAGGAAGGAAGGAAGGAAGGAAGGAAGGAAGGAGCTGTGTATTAATGTAGGGATTATTGACAGTTTTTACCTTTGAGCTTCGTGATGAGAGATGGGCCTAGTAGTTGTGAAGAAAATAGCAGTGGCAGTAGAAGTATTACACTTGGTGATGCCTTAAGAAACCTGGGCTTATATAGGTGCCTACCAGCCTAATAAGTCACACTAGAAGGGACCCATTGAAGTTATGGAGATTTGGTGAGCCCACTGCTCTGTACATCCCATTGGTTCAAGTGGGTCTACGCTAGTTGTGACTCCTTAAAGTAAGCACCAGGATTTCAGCCAAAGTGTCAGAAAACACAGCAGAAATTAAAACTCAGTGGATGTTGCTTTGTGCTCTCCTTGTCCTGACCAGGGACAAAAGCCGGTGGGTGGCTCCTTGTACATGCCTGCCAACAGGACATTGAAATCAAAAGAAGATGCAAGAGACGTTCACCTGAGCCATCAGCCCTGATGCAGGTGCTATATCTGCACTTCAACACCTCACACCTCTTCCATGGAGGGTCATCTTACTTTTGAAGGGGTGAGGTGGTGGAGGACGTACCTGCCAAGAGGTAGAAGGCCATGGAGAGGTACAGGCAGTGCCGCTTGGCTGTGGCTCCCAAAAAGCAGTCAAAATACCGGCACCCGAAGAGGAGGCAGAGAAAGGCTACGGCGCCAGCAACGGCAGACATGATGAGGGAGGCTCTGGTGATCACGATGGCCGCTGGAGGAAGGAAGGAAAGTAGGAAAGAAGGGGGGAGAATAAGCAGCAGGAGAGGGTTAAGTGACCCCTTGTGGGTGTCCTTGTGGGGCTGTTAAACAGGGACCTCTTGGAGCTAGAAAGGCTTGTGGGGCCCAGTGTCGTGTCTCTGAGGGCAGCCTTTGCGGGGTCTTAAATGCCAGTGGGAGAGATCGTGAGCTGTTTAAAAGGAGAAATCATCACCTTTGTTTGCTGGAAGAATGGGCTGGGGGGGAGGCTGGGCACCCACAGAACAGCCCTGGGTGGCACTTTGCCCACCCCAAATTAGAGCCAGGGCTGTCTGCAGCCGCTCTCTGCGACGCCCGAAAGGAGAATGGAAGGGAGGAAGAAAATTTGGGTGGGGCGGAAGGTGTGCCTCCTTGGACTCCCAGTCACCAGGAACAGCCATCCACATGCGGTTGGGTCTTGACATGCAAGCAAGCCCCCTGAAATATAGTGGTAGACTTCTCTGAATGGGGAGGCTTCATTCCTAGCTGGCACAGATTGATGTCTTCTCTTCTGGTATGTCTAAAATGCTGTATGAGCTAACAGCAGAGCCCATGCCAATAAAATCCTATTATTATACTGTACACTTTGCGAACAATGTGTTTTCTTGGCTCAAGAGCTACTGGTGAGGATTTTTGCTAGAGGATGTCTTCACAGAGAGGGAATGAGTTGTCTCTTTTCAGTGTTTAGGTATCATAGAATCAGCCGACTCTGTGTTATGGAGGCCTCCTTACTACTATGTTTCTTTATTAAGGACGTGCTTTGGGTTCAGATGACCCCCCTGACTGAAGCCCGAGTGGGTTGATTCACCCGATTTGGAGTCCAAAATAAAGCAGGTCTCCTTGTTAGCAGATCAATCTAAAACCAAGTATCCACGTGTGTTAGCCGTGTGGATAAGGAGGAATAAAAACACACGCAGAGCATCTTTGCCTAGGGTAGGAGAGAAGGAATTGATTTCCAGAAATGTAACCAAGAAGGGAATTGATCCCTTTAGGCTCCTTGGATATGATGCCAGCTTATCAGTGTAGAAGAGGATGTGACCCACAGGTTTTATTTTACCAGCCAGCCAGTGGCACCACCAGCAGCTGGCGGAGACCAGGAGTAAACTGGGTCCCCATCCCTTTTTCCACAGGCTTGGTCTCCCCCTTCTGGGTACTTAGCACTACAGGTGCCAAAAAACGATCAAAAATAGACCTACCATCTCCTATGCTATTTCAGTCACCTTCGCCACACTGTATTGCTAACCAATTCCTTCCTCTGCAGCAAAGAATGCTTAAAAACTCACCTGAAAGTCTGGAGCACAAGTTGACTGCGGAAGGCACTAACTGGCCGGCACCAGTGACATCACTACTGTCTACCTCCCAATCCCTGCAGTGGGTTTGCAACTGTTTTTTTTTTTTTTTAAATGAGTCTGCTTGGGTTTTCATGAAGGGGAAAGGATGAACCCATGAAGAGCAAAGCAGAGAAACGTGGTGCTTCTAGGTGTCCAGTTTAAGGTGATTTCTCAGCAGCATGAGCCAGGGTGGAGTCAAAGCTTGACAGCTCCTCAGCATTTACAGAGACAGAATTGACACTTTCAGGCAACATGTAGTGACCACCCTATCACAAAATGAAGCACACGGAACAGGAATTTGTGCATTTAACCAAAACGAAGGGGGCATCTAACAGAGCAATGTCATTCACACAATTCAGTTGCAGAGGGTTGATCCTACTTCATCTCCCTGCGGGATCTTGGGGTTTGTCGTTTGAGGACGGATCTCGGTTAAGAGGGTTTACTCGGGTTCTCTAGCAGAGAATCCGAAGTCCTTCCCCAAACGACAAACCCCAGGATTCTACAGGAGGGAGCCGTGGCAAGTTAAGTGGGATACGACAGGTGTGCTCCACGTTGCTCTCTTAACTGTCGAGCACATAGGGGAAGAGGCGGACCGTTCTCACATACAGATACCCCATGGAGACCCACCCACCCACAGCTCGCCCAGCCACCTGATGCTGGAGATCAGTCCCACCAACTGGGAAGCTGGGAATTTTACCTGGGTGTGGATTCAGGTAAGAACTGTAGACATCGCAGGTCCAGATTTTGACAAATTTATCCCACACGCACTCGCCCCACAGTCCTCGGCAGCGCATGCTGAGCACCACGGAGCCTTTGCTGTTCACCTGGAAGAGAATGTCAGGTGGCAGGTCCACTTCGGAGCCTCACCTGGTGGCCATCCGAGAGAAATGGCCATTCTCAATGGTGAGCTTTGTGGGGAATGCAATATGGTTAAAAGAGCATGAAAGCACCGGCTGGTCATGATTTCAGTTTAGCCCTGAACTAGGAATAGAGAAATAATTCAATTTTGCTGTCCCCCAGATCAGAACCTTTTTAAAAACTCAAAAATCTGAAGTTCTTTCTGTCTCAAATCTGCAAAGTTGGCTCAATTCTTCTACAACAGACTGTAAAAGGAAATTATTCCTCATATGCAAGAGCAAACTTAATAAATCTAGTGATTCCGATTATAAGGAGGATGATATTGTGTCTACCAGTCATCTAAGATGCAAAAATGCAAAGTATCTGGGGGGTGGGGAGAAGTGATGGCACCTCATTTTAAAACTTAGTTGACTTCTGCTTGGATGTACACCTTAATATGGTGAAGTACTTTGAGTGTGTCAGTGAAGCTGAGAGCAATGTTGTCAGGAGGCCACACTCCATTATGAACCTAAGGGCCCAGCAGGGTCACCCAAGGGTGAATGATCACAGCCGAGACACCAGACTAAGATGCATCCACCCTTTTCAAGGCAGCTACCGAGCAGCAGTAGTAGTAGAAAATTACTCTGGCAGATGAAGCAAACACAATGAGATTCCAGCTAACTCTTGTTAGTATTGCGCAAAAAATGGAGAACAAGGATACAGAGGGAGACTTTTGGGAAGCACTGGGATAGGGTGAGTGAATGTGCTGATTAGATCCTCGATGTTCCAGCATTTTAAGTTCCCAAGAGTTCTCAGTGAAGCTGAGAGCAATGTTGTCTGGAGGCCAGATTCCATTATGAACCTAAGGGCCCAGCAGAGTCACCCAAGGGTGAATGATCGCAGCCGAGACACCAGACTAAGATGCATCCATCCTTTTCAAGGCAGCTACGGAGCAGCAGCAGCCACTTTATTTCTTCTGTCTTACAAGCCCAACACAGGAGACATCCCTAAAGTGACCCCATACCCCCCCTTTTTGGGAGGACAGCCCTGTGTTTGAAGGGCTGTCGGGGGACAGGGGCGGAATTGCTTTCCAAGGAATGTTCCATTTGGAAATCCAACTCCGTTCCATGTCGGACTTGAAAATCTCTGAGAAGGAGTGAGATGGGGGCCCCTGAAGCTGCTCATCATCCCCATCATCCTCATCATCAGGCTCAGTAGCAGGCACATGGACCACCGGGTCACCATCTCCCGCGCCAGATAATAAAAACACATTCCAACTCAGTTGAGATCCTAATATTTCTTTTTCTCATTTTTGCACCTGGGCATGCCAACTGTCTTGTGGCGTCTCATGCAAATTGGTGTTCTCTTTGGTCCTCCATTCAGGGGAGAGGAAAGCAAGCACCCTACCTAGGTGGTTCTTCTAAAGCCCACTTGTGCCAGTCTCTCTCCCTCTCTCTCACTCTCTCTCTCGGTCTCATGCAAATCGGTGTTCTCTTTGGTCCTCCATTCGGGTGAGAGGAAAGCAAGCACCCTACCTAGGCTGTTCTTCTAGAGCCCAGTTGTGCCAGTTTCTCTCTCTCTCATACACACACACATATTTTCCAGGGAACAACTATCCCTTTTCTATATACATTTAAACAAGCTGATGAAGCCACCCATCCCCCTTTTGCACCTTTCTTCCTGCCTTAATTGGAGTTTTCCCTCCTAATTGGAGCTTTCCCTCCTCCTGCTTGCAGCCACCTCCTATATACACACACATATTTTCCAGGGAACAACTAAGAAGAGGAGAGAGTCCAGTTACCTGCCAGCAGTCCGTGCAGAGCGAGCCGACCGTACAGCCGAAGGAAAGGGCCCCCAAGAAAACAGAGATGAGGGCCACCATGGCACCCACTGGAGCAGACTTTGTTGGGGGCATAGATGCCCGAAAGCCAAGCTCTGCCATGGGAGTCCAAGAGTTTCTTCTCGTCTAAGCGGTGATGGGCCAAGCACAAGTCAAGCCCCCCCCCCCCGTTTGCCAGGAGGGACCTGTGAGGTTCCCACTCAAAACTTGGCCAAGAGTCGGGGAGACAGGGTGCTTTTTAATGAAACGGGAAGGTCGTCTGAGCCCAGGAGGAGGAAGGAGGGGGAGAGCGGCCACGGATTAAACTGGGAGCAGGGAGGCAGAAATGTCAGGCGGAACGGAAGGGGGCAGCCAGCAAAGCTGCTCAGCCTCCTGCTGGTTTCATGTTATGCTCTGGGAGTCAAGAAAGAAAATCCATATGACATTCCTCTCGCAAAGGGGAGAAAAAGCAAGGAAGAAAAAAAATTAAAATAGGGCAAGCGTGAAGTTCAGAAGACTCAGAAATCCTTCTGAGATATCCCTTGTGGTGACCTGGACATCAGTTAAAAACAAAGGAAGGAGCCAGGCATTTACTCCAGCACTATTAGTTGTTGATTGCTGGGAAGGA